CTAATTTGTAAAATACAAAAATGTAATGACACTTAGAGTTTGAATGTTATATTAATATTAAAATAGCTATGATCAGTTTGGAATTACTTCAGGTCATACAGTGTGCACACTGAGAATGTGCTCGTTGACACCATGCTCTATGTTAATATTTCATGTCCATGCAGGCATATACTGTATGGGAAATCTTTACTATTAACATCACAACAACCCTGAGGCCACTGCTTCATTAAGTGAATGTGCAAAGATGAGAACTGAAGTGTAAGTGCAGCAGGTTGTGTTTTTCAACCTGAATCTAAAGAGTTAGACCGTACACACTGATGGTTAAATACAGTCGAGTAAAGTAAGCACACTATTTCACTTATATTAGTGATATTAAATATAAACTGTAATCTATATGTTATTCAGTGTTATGACATGAAATAGTTTAGTGACTCATACAGAAGGCTTTATCAAACAGTGGTTGATACTTTCTTCTCTCTTTGAAAAAGCTTTAAATTCATTTGAGAGATAGATGCAGTACCGTGTGTTGACCTGTCACTCAACCAGCTACTTAATCTGTGTGTGTGTGTGTGTGTGTGTGTGTGTGTGTGTGTGTGTGTGTGGCGCCCCTCTGTCATCCAACTGAAGTAAGAAGATCCAGATACCTCATGCTCAAAGTAATCAAAACTATTTTATTACAGAAAAATGTGTTTTGGGCAAATTAATAAAGTGCATTTACCCTAAAAATCTTGAAATTAATGCAATTTTTGAATCATTATAGGTAAACACCTGTACTGTAGTTGAACAATTTTCTGTGGAATTTTACAGCAAATGAATCCAAACATTTTTGGACAACTTGTTATGTTTGTTAATAATTGTCATTCTTCTTTGACTGTTGTGAGTGTAATATTGCCAGTATTAGTTTAATTTCTTATTTTTTTGTTCCTTTTTATGGTAGTCTTCCTTTTGTTTACTGAGACTTGCCTGTATATCTCATCACTCTGGCCTTTGTACCTCACAAATGCTGCAAATACTTTCTCAGGAAATCAGAAAAAATGAAACCCAGCTCTGTAGCCAAACTGCCTTTAGGGTTATATACAAAAACAGGTTCTTTTTTTTTATTGGCAAAAACTGTAGTGAGCAGCAAACTTGAAAATTGGGAGCTACAGTGACATTTTGGATCTTGAAATTATTAAAATTCATGAGTTATGAAAAAAGTTCCAGTTAAAATAAAAGGTAGTATACAATTGCAGTCTGTTTGGTGTTCAAGGGGCACACGCATTTAAATAAACTCCTTCAGGCAGTTGAAGCCGCTCCAAACGAAATAATATTTTGAGCAAACAGACAGTATCGTCAGTCAGTAAAATCATGCCAAGAGAAAGATTAAATTGTGTTTCAACAATCCTGATATCACAGTAGTAGGTGTATTATGCCTAAAATCAGTGTAAAGTAGGCAACACCATAAAAGAGAATTTTAAGTTGTCAAGGAGATTTTTTTAATATCAGATTGTTCGATAAATCCGAACTCTTGATCTGCTCTCTCCATTTAAAATACCATTCAAGCCATCGTCTGGATACACAAGAATTCAGCCAAACACTTTACAGCAAGAGTTCACATTAATAACTTTAATGATGATGGATTAGTCTGAGAGGGTTGAGCGCCAATCAAGCTCTCTGGTAATTAATTAAGTACTCATCAGTAAGGCAGTTTTTTAATAACAAATTCAAAAATCTTATTTGCTTTTTAAATACTTTAACCAAACCAAGCTTATTACCTCTTACTTAATCTGAAAATAAAAAACACAATATACATAACATCACAAATAAACGGTAAAGTGGTATTTAGGAAATGGTTACCTTATTGTTACATTTGGATTTATTGTTTTTAAAGTTAAATGTTTGGCTTAAAAATCGATATCAAAATCTATCAATGCCAAGGAAAGGTTGTTTTTTGCCATTTATATAAACTAAGATGTAGTTAACATTTGGAAATGACTGCATTTCAGGTAAAAATTACATTTAAAAAAAGCTGTACCGTGTAATGTCTCAGACCTTGAGGGATATGTTGTTTCCTTGTGGATATGATATCAATACAATTATGCCTTTGTTCTGTGCTATAGGACAAGGGTGGGGTTTGATAGTTTAAGTGTTTACATTGGAGAGGTAATAAAGATATCTTGTTCTCTCCAGGACGTTATAATGTGCACACTCATCCTGCTTCACTTACCACTAAGTCTTAAAATGCTCAAATAAAGATGTGATATCATTTATTGGAGTCTCGCTGTTACGACAAGCTGCTGCGACAATGAGTTTCAAGTCACTGAGGGGAAAATTAGTCTGTTGATTTGGAAGAGTCATAAACGGTTACTGCAGAGTATAGGGAGGTGTTTGTGGTTATCAAGTGTTTTCAGACTGTATTCACTGCTTATGGTATTTAAATATGCATGTTTTGTTTGCGTTTAATGCATTTCTAAAGACACAACAGTACTTTAATTAAGTTAAGTAAAACAAACACAGGACTTTCACAAACAGACTGCTGTTTGTGTCGGCTCTAAAAACTCAAACACGTGACTCATTTGAACATAAAACACAATATTATATATTATCTGACCTATCATGCTATATTTGAATAATATAGTGTAGGACCATACCTATATAAGGCATATTTATACTTTTAATTTTTTCAAAATACCAAGCAGATCATGCATTTTAGCCATTCCTCATTTCGCTCAATTTAACACTGACTTTGCATGGGCTGATTCTGTGAGAACAGCAGCATCTACAGGCCTGGCATATGTACTACAGCGTCTCCAGCGCTTTCGAACGGCAATGTCCGTGGCTGTCTCCTCCTGATTGGTGGAGTTGGCCCAATAGCCGTAGCGCCACTTCTGTGACGTCATAGAAGTGTTCAAATCTGGATCAGTCTGTATCAGATCCGTTGCAGCCCCTTTTTAAGAGATTTGGGTATGGAGGAAAATATAGGGTTGTATTTTCTGGCACTTGGTGAGTTCCCTGGAACACCGGGGACACATATTCATGTATGAAAGACGTACAAAAGTGCATTTTGCATGATAGGTCACCTTTAACATTAGCCATAAGTTTTGTTGCCTAAACCTGAAAAACCCCATAAGAAAATGCTATGATTATTAAAAGTCTGCGTGGCCATAAATAACCCATGTCAAAAAAGTGTGTGTGTTTTCTTCATTACCATTTTCTATACTTGAAGAGCCTGCTAATTAGCTTTCAGGGAGCTGCTATTGATTCAATTAAAGATAAAATATACAGAAGATGGAAGAGAAAAAGCTGTTTAATCAAAGTATTTAATGAACTAACAAGAACAGTCTCTTTAAATTAGCACAGAGCATGTAAAATAATTTCAAGACACTTTATTTGTACTTTAAAGTGGAGCTTTTCAAAGAATTCTCTCGAGATTAATTCACCAGGAAATGGAGAAGAATCATAATAGTTAATAGAGAACATCAGTATAAATGAAGGTGATTCCTGACAGACATGTTTAATAACTGTCTGAATTGTGCATTTGCTTAAAATGGATTTGTGGGAAAGGGAAGAAATACTGTTGATGGCAACTTAATGCTGAATACTGCATTCTCCATAGAGCAACGGCATTATTAGGGAGATTTTAAGTGACTTTGTTTTGCCATGGTCTCTCAGATTTAACTGCTACAGTATCTCTCTTTCCAGTTTATATTGGAGACATTCGGTGTGTTTAACCTTTGATGTTCTTTTTATTTGTTCTTGCTCATTACTTCCCAATGCATGTCTCTGCAATGTGGTATAGGAGGAGAATAAGGCTGAGGTGTGAGTTTATCATTTATGACATTTCCAGGATTTTTCTCAGCAGGCAGTTTCCTCCACATTGGCGAATAGATGCAATAACCAGCAGTCTCATTACTTAACAGTAGTGCAGTTTTACCTCAAAAAGGGGAGGAGGACATCTGAATCCTGCAGTTGTCTATATCACGCTTTAATCTGTGACATTATTGGTCTAAAACTCACACTGCTCAAACAGCCTGAGCAGTGTTAGTATTTATAACTCACCACAAAGATGTGAGTTGTTTCAGGGAACCCTTCATCTTACATCATTTGTGGTTTTGTCTTGTTTACATGTAAATGAGCTGTACAATGATATATACTGCACAAACTCTGCCACATAAAAAAATACTACTTACTTCATTCTTGGTTTTAAATTAAATCAAAGGGAATATTAATATATTTTTGAGTTTTAACACTTTAAAACCAGTGGTTTTGTTTCGCTTACAGAGCAACATTCGCAGACAGCTAGTAATTTGTAGTCATGCTGCATTGCAACAGTGAATATCTGTGTTGCTGACGCACTTTTCACGGTAAAGCTAGACCCACAGGATGCTGCTCCAGGACATGCATATCACATCAACACTGTATCGACTTAAAGAGTATATGTGGGACGAGGCTTTAGAAGTCTTGAAATTGTAATGCAACTAATGCATGCAACTACTAGGATGTATGGTTCAGACTTAGGCAGAACAGAAACATGAGGGAAATATAGCAGGGGACCAATCCTGTAGGAATGGTATGGGAAGTTTAATTGGATACTCAATGCAAATTTGAAATCCTGCCATGCTGAAAAAAAAGCACCAAGTCGGCAGTTTTTGGTATTTGGGTGCTATCCAAAGGAATATGGTTTCTTCTCCCAGCTCAATTAGGTATTTAGTCAATATCGGTATGTCCCAAAATACTGCTTTGTAGCGTGGCCTCTGGGAGGTCCCTGCACCTGATCTTGAGAACCTCTTCCCTAAAAGAAATGGAGTGCCAAAACAACTGGATTACTAGGAAATACGCCTGTGGTTTCCGTCGATTAAATTCACTCGGTGTGTGTGTTTGCGAGCGCGTGCGTGTGTGTATTCTAGTGTGTATGTAAAAAGGCGCACAAAGCGATGCCGTACAGCCAGTCCCATCAACACCTCACAGAAACGCAGATTTGAAAGCAACTTGTTGACGTCTCTGTGATCTTCCCCCGGAGCAGAGGAGACCGTCGGCAGCGGGAAGCCCCCGTGTCTCTCCCCAGGGCTGCTGAGGGCAGCACACCATGAGCTGCGCTTTAAAACGTCAGATGGAGACGCACACCGCACTTTTGACACTTTTGAGACATTTTTGCGGTTTATCTGTGCGAAAATACATTTTTGAAGCTGAATGCCATAAATTACAGTCGCTCAAGTTTCCCCGGACAACTGAAATCACTTATGGTTGTACTTAAACGCTCTCCTTTCAGATGAGATGTGAAGACTACCGAAGCAGTCCGATGGTTCCCTCTGAATGTAACCAGTCTACTATTTCGCTTGTTTGTACTGGACGTGCATAAATGAAGGACACCGATGCTGGGATTCCCTGTTTGCTTTTGTGCTCAGCATAATTCAAAAAGAAAGAAGACAACAATTCACCAAATAAAGAAAAAAATATGGTAAGTTTAACGATCTTTTCTCTTTAAAATAAGTACATCACCTCGTTTGTTACAATTACGCAGCGATGTGCAGGGGCGCAGAAAGGAAGGCATTATTTGTTGTTTTAAGACACTGAGTCAACAGTGGGGTATATCTTTTAACTTTCTAAAAGAGCTGAACTAATGTGACTAACACAGGTTCAAAATCTTAGAAAGATTAAAGATTTCTGCTGAAAATCCTGAACAAATCCCTTACACCAAGAGATGAAACAGAGCATGATAAGGTCACTTGTGATCACCACTGGCACCATGTAAGTCCTGCTAGGACTATTTTAGTGACACCAAAAGAGATTGAAATGTCCCGAAGTAGGAAATGAGGAGGACACACAGTATACTTTATGAGTCCCTAAGGGGAAGTAACAGCAGCCTCATGGGTTTAATCGTGTTATGAACTGCAAGGCATGCGGAAAAAAACAAGTACACATATGAAACCGGCATGAAGCCCCAGAGTGCCAAAACTGATTTAAATAGGGAGAATATTGCTGGAGGAGGCAGGAAATACATGGTAACGATAACAACACTACAGTTCTTGATTGCATCTCAATAAAACGTAACATTGCTTTCCTTAAGATTTTTCTAATTACTATCAAAAATAATTATAAAATGAGAGGGGACAAGATATTTTCCCCCTCAGGTTTATTTGTTTTTGTTGACCTGTGAGATAACTGCTAAGGGTTAGGCTGGAGGCAGGTGAGGAGTTTATAGCGTGATAAAGCCTATTTAATTTCACTATAGGGTTTCAAATCCTGTATGATATGTGCTTAACACTGGTTGTCCAGGATGCTAACATTATTTTGCTGCTTGCAGCCTCCAACCCTTCACAGTCGTGGCACATGCTGCTGAATTCATTATACAGATAAGGCTGGAGAGTGGGCTCTTTTCAAATTATAATAATATTCATATTTTACTTGGCCGTTTGCGGACATAAATTACTAACATCAGAATTTACCAGAACATCTTTGCCATTAGCAGCAGCTGGTGAGGAGGAGCAGCCCAACCATGTAGTGTTTTCAAGTTGGGAAAATAGACCTGTGCTTTCAAGCTTTTCAGAATTTTTTTGCTGTGAATGTTGTATTTTTCTTTTGCCTGAAGTGGCTGATGTGAGAGATCCTCAGCAAAATGAAAGGGAATCACCATGTCGGTGCTCTGATGAAAAGTACCTTTCAGTACACAATGTACCTCCATTTCATCTGGAGACTCTCACATGTGGAATTTTCTCTCTCGCATTCACACTGACACCCTTTCCCCCCCATCCTCTCACATTACACACACACTCACTCAGAGATGAACACACACACACGGCTCTCCAAATGCGCCTTAACAACCTTGGTGTGACGGAATATGTAATTTACGACCCATTAAACTAATCCTATTCATATCATGCAGTCCCCTTTCCCTACTTTATTATGACACTGTTTTACAAATGTGGGTAATTGGAAACAATTATGAAACTGAAAAATGATGATACTGTTGAATATATAATTTCCTTATACAATGATGAGGGAGTTCCTTCCTTCCCCCCCCCCAGCATGGGACATGAGATCATATCACAAAGAGGACTCATTTGTAGCTCATTTTCCAAAGTATCAAATCATGGTTTAATAATGAATGCAGGAATAAATGCCTGATGGTTCCGAGAGTGCTGCATGTGTATATGGAAGAACCGTTCCCTCTAATAACATCTTCAGAGAATATAGGGGCGGAAAATCCCAGTCCCATGAGATATACAGTATAGGGCCCGGCAAACTAACTCTATACTGCAAGAAAAGGAAAATCCTCTTTCATTATTTTGTTAGCCTCAGTCTTTTAGCATGATGTCAGACTGTATATATCCATCAGGGGTATATTTGAAGGACTCATGTTCTTGTGTTTAAATTAGCTTCAAATACTAAAAAGTGAGATGGAGAAAACATTTTAATCATGTCTTGGAGCTAATGTCAGGTTTATGAGCTATCTAGCTACAGCTGATGCAATCTAGCAGAAGCAGACTACTGTCTGTAATTAAGGACCAATTATTTAAAGATAACTACGAATTTTGAGTTGTAAATCTGCCAACTGGCCAATTAAAAATCAAAATGTCCATCATAGATAGGATGTTCATGTTTAGAGGCTCCCATGGGATGAATATAAGCATCTCCGCTATAGGAGACGTACCAAAGACTAGAACAGTACACTCTTCAATGTACTGCATGTTTCCTCAGGTCTGGCAATGCATGACAGACGTTTACATCAGACTGGAGGTAATTCACTTGCAGGACTGTGTTGAAAAACTAGAACAAGAAGCAGATGTGTGCAGTTGACTTACAGCTTAATTCCACACTTTCAACATTACTACTCCTACCTCCAAAATGTCACTTTCTTCAAGAACGGCTACAAAACATAACAAAGCTACCACGCTAAACCACTTGAGGTAATTTAACAGTCTGTTCGCTACATTGTTTGTCCTGCACACTGATGTTTACAGTACTGTGCAGCACGTGAGTCGGCTGAAAGTAGCTGAGCAGATGGTGGGGCAGCGTCAGTGAAGAAGACTTCACCATTCAGCTGTAAAACACTCTGCCTGAGTACATTTCTTTGTGGCAGCTCTTTGAAGTGGCAAAGGGTGCAATTCTCATGTGCCAAGGAAATGTCGATATTAGATTAGTGACCAAGTGATACTGGAAGTGCAATGAGGAAGATGAATTCTGACATTGTGCTCATTGCCTTGCTGCTGACTACGGTCAAACTACATTCCCTACCTTCTGTGAGAAACTATTAGACAGTGTGACAACAGCAGGTCAGTGCAGCAGAACTTACAATTCCCACAGCTACTACAACTAAAAAGAAAGGTTTTAAAAGCAACAATACACGGGGAAAATAGAAACACTTGGCAAGCTGTAGACAGTGCCCTTCAGAGAAAGTAAGAGAAATTAAACATGGAAACAGGAATCTTTGACATCATCAAGGCCATATAATGTATAATCTTCAACGAAACACAAACACTAATGAACACATCGCAGTATGAACAGTTTACTGAAACAGGCTAAATAATGGCTAACATTAGGGAGGAAGATCCTCCTTCCCTGAGGGCGTACTCATTAAACTCCTGACCAATTACCTGATTCTCCAACATGGAAACGACTACTGGCATTTCAAATAGGTGAGACCAATTAAGAGATAGGCCCAAAGGAAAACTTTGCCTATTTTCAACAGACTTTGTATTTGTGAAGTGTGTGTGGTCGTGCACATAAATGAACAGTATTTGGCTTTCCCCTGTGTTACTGGCCTCCCCCCACTCATTTGCCGGCGGTAGCCAAACATCGTTCATTTGGATGTACCACCGACATTGCAACAAAGACATTCTTGAAAATTGCAAACTTTCCCCAGAAATGCATCTTTGTGGAATTGTGTGCAAAATAGGAAAAGCAGAGATTAAGTCTGAGTATGAGTCCATCATGACCATAGCATTTTACAGGGGAGGTAATGCTATTAACCATACAGGAACATCAGGTGATGGCGAAGGAGTGAAATCAACCCAGTGATCCACCATACAGGATCTATGCGCTAACAATGGTTTGATGTATTTGAAGCGAATATATCTATATACAATATATTCTTCTTGTTGTTCTGAGTTTGAATCTTTATGGTTTGTTGCACTTACTGTTAGTCGATTTGGATAGAAGCAATTAAATCAAGATATTGTCGGGATTGGAAATACCTAAAGAATGTACCACAGCCAAAGAGGTTTACCATCATAAGAGACAAAAGTTTCAAAAGCTATATGATCGAAAACCATGACGAGGAGGCAAGATAATCAGGAAGGAAAGAAAGACAGCAAAAACAAAATACCACCTGAGAGTAAAACAGCTCAAACTCAGGTAGAGATTCCCCTCACAAAGCATCAGAGATGACTACACTCAGCTCTAATCCTAAAACACAGCTTGATCTAGCATTTAAACTATTTAAACTGGAAAAATAAATATTTGCAAACCCAATCTCTGGTATGCTTCCCTTCTTTCATCAAATCCTCCCGTCGCTCTTCATGCTGTTGTGTTTTGTCTTTACACTTGAATTAAAGCAATCCATGAAAATGAGACCGAATCAATGGTAATCCCATCGGATTTACAGGCAGGATTATTCACATGGGATTGGGCTCGGTGTGAGAAAGCAGAAAATAACATGCCGCCTCTCTCTCATTAACATCATTTTATACACTATTTTAAGCGGAGTAGGAAATCCACTTCATTGTATTGACATAGGAAAGGTTAATCATACTTTGTTTATATTGTGGATGCTTTTGAACTCTGATGTATTTTTGTCTTGCTGAAATGTTTGTTGCATTACTCAGTTCCTTTACTTTCCCTTCTCTCTTTTTTTAACCTCCTGGCATTATCTCTGGGTTTGATGTTTTTCCATATAATTAGCACTGAATCATAACATCGGGTTCTTATGATGAACGTTGTAATTATAGATCAAGACAATTTGTACTCACTGTGAGAATGACAGCATGTGTCTCATCAGGATCGATAAAGCTCGCCCTCCTCGCTCTCGCAGCGGCAGCAGCTCGGCCACTTAGGCCATTAGTGGTCATTATTCCAAGGTTGACTACTTGTTGAAAGATGTCTTTTTCCATTACTTGAAGCGAGAGTCTGTATTTTGTTGACGGAAAGCCTGTGGGGAGGAATCTTCGAAGAAGTGGAAAATACCACAAAGCAGTAAAATAAAAGGAAGACAGGGTGTTTGTACTGTTGCACAACCAGAACCATGACACAGCGTCTACTGCACAGTATGTCGATTTTAGAGTTGTTACAGCAACTTTTATATTACCTACTTTACTTAGGTTAAGAAAGTTCTTACTAATGTATAACAATTATTTTATTCCTAACAGTGCAGTTCTCTTTAATGAATCACACTCCAATACAAACAGTTTCATGTGGCACAATTGTGCGATTTAAGAAATGTCTTGCACTTTGAATTATCCA